GACTACCACATACAAATTCTATATTTAAAACTTTTTACTTCGCTAAATACCGCAAATAATTTAACCGTAATATAATAAAAAAATAGTAAATATATTAATTATTAAACATATATTAAATAAATAAATATTATTGATTTGAAAAAAAAACTATCTATATAAAATACTTATTTCACCCTCTTTTCTTCTTTCAACATTTCAGTATCTTGTCTTGGATATTTTTAACCGCCTCACTTCCAGTCACAAGATTATTAACTATCAGAGTCATTTCAAAATTAAAGTCTTCAAAAAATGACTATTTATTTTATTATTCATTTTGACATATGTCGAATTAATATCGATCACGTGAGAGTTGCGCGCGTTAACCAGAAGTACAAACAGCTGATCATTGAATGCATCAGCTGTTCTAGACTAAACAAATGTTAATTGCTGAACAAATATAATATTGCTGACATGTATTTATAGTGAGAATAGATAACGGCTCATGCTGTAGATGTTTGCCAACGTGTTTATGAGACAACGTGGAAAATTTAAATAAAGAAGAAGAGTTATTGACCGAATTATAAAACACAAATTGACACATGAAAAAAAATTAGCCACCATAGCTAAATTTTAGCTGTTCCTATATTACAACCTGAAATTTGGTTATGTGCCTAAATTTTAGCTATGATAGTAAATTTTAGCTATGATAGCTAATATTTTTAGCTATAGAATCCATTAAACTACAGCTAAAAAATATTAGTTATCATAGTTAAAATTTAGACATAATAATTAAACAGGTTGTATAATATAGGAACAGCTAAAAGTTATGGTAGTTAATTATTTTTTCTCTTTTTGTAATGTGTGCAATGTGTAGAAGAAAGAAAAGCAATTAATCACAAGCATAAGAATCTAAAATTAAATTTCTTTAGTTGCAAGTTTTGAAAAATATGGTCAGCAGTTTTTGATGGTACACTGAAAAAAATTGTTAACTTGACTAAACCTTTCAACTAAATTACTATTTTGTTAATTGAACATCTATTAGTATTTAAATCAAATATATACGGTTTGTTAGATTTAATATGTTATATTTAATTTAAATATTTTTACTTGTTCAATTAATAAAATAATATTTATTTGAAAGATTTAGTCAAGTTAATAATTTTTTTATAAAGTACATAGAAACAGCGATGCGCAAAATGCGCAATTTAGATTGTTAAGAGTCTTATTTGTTATACAGAAAAACATTGTTTTTCACGCATAAAATGATAATAATTGCGAATTGCTATATATAGAAAAATATTAGATAAACCAAGTTTCATAATAATTGTTGAGCAATTTTATATATATGCGATACATGAAAAATGCACGAGCCAATACGAGCCATTTGGCTTGTTTTTCTAACAATAGAAATACTTGCGTGGAAAAACATATACGTGAAATAATATTTCTCTAATTGCCATAGTAAAGTTTAATATTATTTTCTGTCGAAATAATCGATAATTTTAATTTAAAAAATATGACAATAACTGTCGAAAACAAACTTTGATGTATCTATATTTGTGCACGCTCGTGTGTTGTTTTATCCCCCATTTTATCCATAATTATTTTGAAAATTATTAGTTTGCAAACTATTTACCAGATCAGAATCCGAATTAGAGTTGAACCACGATCTAGGATTCCAAGAAGATATATTCCATTTTGGAGATGTAACGAAAATATTTCCCGATCCGGATGGCGATTCGTCTTGGTGCGACATTCTCAGCGAACGAATGTATTACAAATTCGCTGATGATTTCGACGACCGTTAAAGTCGTATCATCCGGTTTATATTTACATGTGATCGCTCGACAAATGTTGTCAGTTTGTGAATACTCACATGACCAGCGGCTCTCAAACTTCGAAGGCGTAAAAAGCGCAACAAAAATATTTGTGCACAATCATATAATATTATGATTTTAAAAACTAGATAATTTGTCTAAAGATATACTCTTTCTCGCGCTCATAATAATTTATAATCATTTAATGTTTAAATATAAAATTTTTAATATTAAAAACGCGTGTGTGAGCACGAGAAATATATATATTTTTTTAATCTAAATATTTTTTTGTTATAATAATTTCCACATGTATAATATATAATATGCTTTTTGAGATATTTTCCTATATTATTTTCTTTTTTCACATTTTTATGCAATTACTATTAAAATAAAATAAAATATTAAATGATAATTATTAAATAAATGTAATTATTAGGATGATAAATATAGTAAATATGATAAATTTGCTACCATTTTCAATTGTAATGTTTACGCAAATGCAAACATTGCATTCGTGTATGATATTCGAATGCATATAGATTAATCGATGTGCAATGCGAATCGAGTGCGTATATATAGATATGCTTGTTGGCGATCATTTTCGTATCGATTTAATGCATTATACTGATTAAAGAGCACATATCAATTGTCTTATGCAATTTTCTTGGAACTTATCTACATTCAATGTATAATCGATATATCGTGTGGCGCGTGTAACCGTTTCCACGTGGACCAATCGTGTTCGTAAATACAAACACTAATTTCACATTTAGGATTCATTAACTTAATTGAACTTTTAAATAGCGTGTGTTGTTCGACGATGCAATTCTTCGTAAGTTATGCGCAACACAAACATTGATTGTGCATCACGCAAGTGAAAAGTTCATTATTCGATTAATTGTATCAAACATTCTGTATTATTTTATCTTTTAGTAGTTAAATAGTTATTGAATGTTTATTCAATATATAGTATTTCATAGTTATTTAATGTTTATCACATTAAATTTTATCTGTAGAAATTGTGAAATGAAAGCTATCGTTTCGTGATGAGGATGTATGCAATGTTCCGGACGCTGTCAGAGTTCGTGATAACGAATAGAGTTGATGACACATGATCGATTTCACTTTATGTGCTATTGAATTAACATACCGAACAGAGTAATAAAAAAAATAATATAGTGACTTACCGATTGAAATAAAAGATCCTCTCGGCAAATCCGATATTGTCATGAATAAAATCGCTCTCTCGTGCACCTGAAAAATAAAAAAAAAAAAGATAAAATAGCTGTTCAAAAATTTATATATATTGATAATAATTTCCATAAATCATGCAAATTTAACATGTTCCCTGCCACGTGGATCGTAAATGCTCCATGCTGAACTTTTCTTCTCGTTCAGATAGTTTTATATTTTCGCTATTAATAAAAATGTAACATTATCATAAAATATCTTATAAAATTATGTATTGATGTCTAAATATATATAATGCCATTATTACATTGTGGAGCGTACATGCTACTATGTAGAGAGCTATTTAAATATTCTTTTGTCTTAAGCTTCGTATGCCAAGATTATTATTCCGTTCATTGTCGTACGAGGGTAACAAGCACTTAATTGCAGTCGTTTGACAATATATAATAGAAAAATTATATGATAACATTTATTTTCAATAAAGGAAATAAATTCATAAAATAGAAAATAAGTATATATAGGTACAAAATGTTGGAAAATATGTATGTACCCATAGTAAGAATTTTTTTTAGAATTTATCCTGAAAATCATGGTAATCGTGTGACAATATGGTATTGGAAAAATTTTATGAGTTTTTCTGATATTAATATTTACCACATAATAAAAAATATTAATCTATCACAAAAAATATCAAAGAAATGTTCGATTGATTTTACTATGTATTTTAGTAAAATTAATCCAACATATTTTATATCTTATTGTGATATATTATTAATATTTTTATAAATATCAATCAAAGAAATTCTTATAAAATTCTTCCAAAACCGTTGTTCTACAGTTACCATAATTTTCAGGACAAATTCTAATTGTAAGAGAAAATTCTTTCTGTATACGGATATAAAAAATGCACACAAATACGTAGTATATATATTTGTAAAACAATCATAGTTATGAGATATATTTCTAATTCTTTTTTTAAATTATTTTATAGAATTTATTATAGATTTATATTTTGTTTGCGTAACTTTCTTATTTAAACCTTACATTTTTTTCTGGATAAATCTTATAAATAAAAAAAATATGTTATACATTATATATAAAAATTATTAATCTCGACAATGTGGGGCGTATCCGACTTATGCGATGTTAATAGAAAGTTAAAAAAATGGGTCTAGAATATTACATAAATATTTTATGGTATTCGCGTATAAAGAAAGAAAATTGCATAATTTTTCTTGTTACTAAAAAATTAAAAAGATTTTACGTCAATTGTTGAAAAAATAATGACCACAAATATGACTTAAATTTCAACATCTATTACACTAATAAACAACGTCCACGAATTGTTATTATCTTAACTTCCAACATGAATCCCTCGATAAAAAAAATGATATATCATTGACAAATCTGATAAGACTATAAGACTATCTTCTCAACGTTGATCCGACTATTTATAACGCATTTTTAATCTAAGAAGAAAGTTAGAAATATTTATAATAAAATATCCATGAAACAAAGATAAGACCGTGCATTTGCGGAAAAACACGCATATATACGTATGCACACGCTTGAATCATCACGATTCCCATCACAAAGGAATATCGTCACGGAATGGAGATCCCTAATAATTCTAACCTCACCTGGGAGGATTCCGCTATTCTCCGAGGTCCTCCGCTCTTCAGCCGGCGTCGACTCACGCGCGTTACATAAGGATCGCTTTTACTCGCGATTACATTTTACTGATGTCGCGGCGAACGAAAAAAACAACGTATATGCACAGTAAAATAAGAAGAACGTAGAGCGCGAAGATAACCGCTTCCTCCGTTTCTTTTTCTCCGTTCAACTCCGTTAATGCCGCGGCTAGCCGCCAGGCGGTGCGCGCTTCGCTTTGATCAGCTGATCGTCCGCGCACGTGCGCTCATGTGTCAGAGTCGTACATTTTTTATATTTTAAATATATATACGACATATATATATATTTAATTAATGCATATTTATTAATGTTCAAATTTTTTCATTATCAAAAAATTATAGAAAGATACTGGATATAGACAAAAATGATTTTATCACATTGTTAAGTCTTGTTTTTCCTGTATACAGTTTCTTTTTTTTTTGTTTATTAAATATTCTGCGTCTTTTTTTTTCTTTTTTTCTAAAAAATTAACATATATTTTATTTATTTAGCTATAGTAGAAATAAAAAAGTCTAATTATAAAGTAGGTTCAAGCACGTTTTATGTACAATACTGTACATAACCTTCTAAGATACACACGCGTTATATTTTGACGCATTGTATCAACGAAAGAATTTATAAGCATTTAATTTAAAAATATTTATTAAATATTCATTCGAGATGTCAACGACACTGGCACTACCGCAAAAAAAATACTATAGACAACGCGCGCATTCGAATCCGATAGCAGATCATTGCATCGAATAGTGAGTAAAATTGTGTTATCTCTGTCATCAATTTTAAAGATTATAAAAATGTTGTATTATTTATTATTTACAGCCCCATAAAACCAAATTTAATGGATTGGAGTGCCTTGTATCCACAATATTTTACTGGCAACGAGGAAACACAGAAATATGTAGAGTTTGCGGATGTTGGTTGCGGCTATGGAGGATTGCTTGGTACCTTATTTTTTGTAATCCAATATATATTTTCTAGTGACAGATAAAAGTAATTAATAAATCAATTTCCAGTTGCCTTATCATCAATGTTTCCTGATAATCTGATACTTGGTATGGAAATTAGAGTAAAAGTATCAGACTATGTTATGGATCGCATTGCTGCTTTACGTTCACAAAATCCTGGTCAATACCAGAATATTGCCTGCCTAAGAACGAACGCCATGAAATATCTGCCAAATTATTTCTTCAAAGGACAAGTAAAAATAACAATCTCATTTGCCTGACATATACAAATATATAAAGTATATAGTTTATATTAATTAACATTTTTAATTTGCATAGTTAAAGAAGATGTTTTTCCTGTATCCAGACCCACATTTCAAAAAATCGAAACATAAATGGAGGATAATAAACAAGTCTTTATTAGCAGAATATGCTTATGTATTAGCAGAAGGGGTAAGTGTGGCTTAATTTCTTATATTAATTTTATAGAGTCTAATTGAGACAACTTTTTGTTATTATAGGCAACTGTATACACTGTAACAGACGTGAAAGATTTGCATGAATGGATAGTTCAACACTTTCAAGAACACCCGTTGTTTAAAGAAGTTTCTAAGCAGGATTTGGTAAGTGTTGGCAGTATTTGTAGCTATTTTTTTACATAGGTAATATAAATTAAATCAAATTTTGTGTTAATATAGGCGACCGATCCTGTAGTGGAAAAATTATACGAAAGCACTGAAGAAGGTCAGAAAGTAACCAGGAATAAAGGAAATAAATTCCTGGCTGTGTTCAGAAGGATTGCAGATACTTACATTGCAAGTAGCTAGCAGCAGCAGTTGTATATAATTGTATATATACATTATAATATCTGACTATCATCATGCAGCGAAAGATATTCTTGATGCTAATCTTGATGCCACATAAGGATATTCCTCCCTTGGACGTAACAATCGTATCTCTAAAATTGATTGAAGCAATTGAAAACATCGAGAATTATTTTTAAAAATAAAATATTTGATATTTCGCGATATATACCTTGTTTGGTTTTTCTTTTATTCATGCCAGATACCATATTCAAATAGTCTTTATGTCTGATATCTATGTGCTGAAATAGATGTATGGTTTTTAAAGCGAATTCTTCGTGCATTATGATGAATAACATCTGAAAAATATAAAGTTGATTAACAATGTTCTTCTTTAACAAATACTGAATATGAACTAAAAATAGCATCGTACTCTTTCCAATATATGATTAATTAATGCTCGTGGTGGTGAAATATACGATCTTTGTATCAATTTTTTCTTTCATGTAAATTCACTGTGAATTGCGAATAAAACAAATTTGATTCATTCTGCAAAACATCTTGTATAATATTTTTAAACACTTTACTATTGACTATTTCCCTAAAATAAAATGAAAAACATCAAATAAGATAATACATAAACTAAATACAAAACATAAATATGAAATAAAAATATTTATATTTTAAATAAATTATAAATCTAAATTTTTTGCTTATTATATATTTATGAAAATTAAAAATTTTACCATAATAATCCTTCTATAATAAATAAAGACCGACTAATATCTTCTTTTTGAATGTTAACATTTGTTTATCATTTTTCTCGATGCATATTCCTTCTGGAGGTGCATTTGTTAATTCATTCATTAAATTACTTTTTAGAAATTTATCTTCTAAGCTGTATATAGAACATCGAATCGTTATAGTTTTATAAAAGGTTTGAGGCTTCTCCAAAACTTCCATCGATGATTTCTAAAAACAAAAAAAGATTAACTAATAATTTAATGTTTAAAAAAAGTTACTGTTACTTTTCTCTTTAAAAAAAAAAGATTGCATTATTTTAAAATAATTTGGATCTCTCCCTCCTTTGTTAAATTATCTACAATTTTTATTTTAATTTTTCAAATATTTAAAATAATTTTAATTTTAATTTTTCAAATATTTAATATTTTCAAATGTTTAAAACTTTATGGAATATATGTATATATATATATATATATATATATATATATATTTATTTACTGGAATATTGACTCCTTTTTCTGTAATAGTAAAATGCTCTTCTAATTCTCGAGACAAATCTTCTAATTTGTACACATTTCTCTGATAAGTTCGTCTTTGGCTGGCATTAATAAACTCGCATGGTATATTAATATCAATCACGCAAGGGTATTCTTTGGTGTATATAGTTATGCGAAAAGTTTTAACAGCCATTGGTTTTATTAAGCCTTTTTGTGGGTAAACTTCGACGTGAATTACTCCAGGAATCTCATTTCTGAAAGAAAGATATAAATACTCATTCAATGGTAGAAGATATATTTTAAATCAATAAATAAGAATTTATATATATCATAGATTAATTTAAAGCAACAAACCTCTTCCATTCATAAGCGAGTACGTCGTGTATTGAATTATTGTGCATCATAATCATCCTTACTACGTGACGATGCGTAGCTATGTGTGAAATATTTATACAGTCAGCATTAAAATAAATTGGAATATCATCGTCATCTTCGTAGTTGCATTCGGATGGTATATATTCTCCAAGTGTTACTGGTTTATGTGGCAAGGAAGATTCGCCTTCCAATATCAATTCTTCCTCTTCATCACCCAGAGTCAGACATAATCTACCCTATTCAAATAAAGAGATAATATTTATTATTTTTTTCTTTATTAAATTTGTTGTATATATATAACGATGATAAACCTTAAATATGCCAAATTGTCGTGGTTGAAATTTTAAAAGGATCGGGAAGGAAGATTGCGGATTCACGATTACATGTGGATTCGCACAGGAAAAAACCTCATAGCAGTGCTCTTGATTTATTTCACGCATTGTTTTGGGATTTATAGAGAATGGGATACTGTGATTTGTACCATTATATATCCAACATACCTGAAAATTTTTCACAAAAAAAATGTTATAAAAATTATATTAAATTTAAATAAAAATAATGACCTGATAAATAGGACTCTTGTCTCCCAAGTAAATATGCTGAAATTTAAAACGCGTGCCGTTTAAAAGATGAAGCTTGTTATCAGAATCGGACAATCCTTCTATTGTCATGAGTAAAAAAATATGACGATTATTCCCGAGGTCCAAGTCCCACTTTGATTCGGTCTTTCCTAATAATATATAACGCAGCTCTAGAGTTATCCAGTTTTCTTCCCCTGGCTGTATTTTATTAAAATATACATAAGATAATGATAAGACAAATTAATGATTAAATATTCATGTAACATTATACTTTAAGATTTCCCGTTTTTGGTTGCACAGAGCACACTTTTCTGTGCAAACAATCGTATTTCGCACGTTGCAACGAGAAGCCTTTCGTAATAGGTCGACAAGAACAAAGCTGCACTCTTTTAATATTCCAAGAAGCAGTCACTGCAGTTACGTTTCTTAAAATAATTTTATAACAACAGGACTTTCATTTAAGGCCATCGCCAGAAATTTGACATACAGTGTTTGTGAAGTTTCCGTTTGTACATCTCGAAGTAACGTATTGAAGCTAAGATTAAAAAATTTATAATTCATGTTTAAATGACAGTAAAATTATCGACGTTGCATAGATGATATGGAATTAGCATACGCATTAATTTTCATCAGCTTCCAAAGAAAAGCTTTGCTCACAACCGGAAAAGGCGCGTAACATTGTAAATCAATCACCTATTATTCATAATACAATTGCTATACAATTGCTATACAAATAATTATTATTATTATACACATAATATATTATTAAAATGCATTTTTATAATGCCACTCTATTTTTAAACAGCATTATTTCAAATTATATTTTGGAATAATGCTACGTATTTACTTTTAAGGTGGGTAACACGCATAAAGAGCGCAATTTGCAGATCTTTCTTGGCATCTGGTTCGGAATTAATGCATCTGCATGAAGATTTAGTCTCACAAAATATTGAACAAAAAGTTCGTAATATCCCGGTGTGGTTGGTGTAAGAGAAACCGTGATTATTTTATCTTGTCCGGCGAAAACGGTGTCCACATTCGGCTGTATTTTTACATCGCGTTCTATGTTTCCAATCGGCCAATTACAATGGCTACACGTTATCTTGTAATGGATATTTACCGGACTCAAATTAAATATATGAAAATTTAATTCTTTTGTAGCTTTGTACATCTGAACTCCGAAATTTAATTCGTCGGGCGCTGACTGGCGAAAAATAATATTGCGTTACAAAAGTTATATATATTTTATATTATTATTTAGCACGTTTATTTTAATTTACCACAAGATAGCCAGACTCGCAGCTTCCTATCAAGTGTAATTTTATGCAAACGGTGGGACCAATGGGAATTTCGTCTTTTAACACAATTAAAATGCATTTTACGTCAAACTCATAATTTCCAATTGTGGTAGGACAAAATATCCATTCGTGAATGACGGTATCATTAGAGTAAATTACGTTATTTTTATTTTGAATTCGGAGTTCAGGTGCCGCGTTAATAAATTCGTATCTAAAAATTCGATATTTTAATGAAAGAAAATTAAAATGATAAATTGATAATACTCATGCAGTTTTTAATTAGCAACAAGATGTATAAATAAGAGCACATTGATATTTTAATATCGTTATAAAAATAATTTACTTTAACGTATGTCGAGTAATATTTCGCATGCAGAATTGCTGCGATTCCTGGCAAAAAGGAAACGTCGGTGCAAAATTCACAAGATTTTGATCGCTAAAATTGGCATTAGCATATTCCGCGAATCCACGAAAATCTATGAAACATTCCGATTTTGTATTTCCATTGAAACGTATTGCCCAACGTTCCACGTAAACGCGTTCATTGTCAGTTCCGGGTAACATGCCGACTACAATAATTTGATAATCTCTAGAAAGGATAATAATATGATAAGAATAATGTCTCGTTTTGATCGGCAAAAAAATATATTAAAAATATCAGGTCATCAAATATTATGTAAACCATATATGTACAACCGTTCGTAAAAATACAAAAATCATGATAGTCGGTCTAAATATCTAAATTATAAACAGAGAGAATTTTTCTTTAGAATATACCCTAAAAATTATGCTAATCGTGGGAAAATATATGGTACTGGAAGAATTTTATAAGAGAACTCTTATAAAAGAGAAATCTGATTAAATATTTACCAGAATAAAAAATATCAATATTTACCACAATAAGATATAAAATATGTTCGATTAAGTTTACTATGTACATATTAATATTTTTTATTGTGATAAATATTAATCAGAGAAACTCTTATAAAATTCTTGCAATACTGGAGGATTAATTTCAAGAGAAAATTCTCTCCGTGTATAGCTATGTGTGATGTAATGCAAATGTAATGATTTCTAATCTACACTAAATCTGAATAATTTAGACTTTAGACAATATTAAACTTTATGCTAAATGCAAGTATACTGATGAATTATTCCCATCATCGGTTTCACGACAAAGTGGCTCGATGTTGGTGGTATAAATCGATACATCAATGGCAAGTGTCCGAATTTTTTTATCAAGAACGTGGTATAAACCGGAAATGACGGTAAACAAGGAGGCATTTTGACTATGTGAGGTATTTCGTACTGGGGAATCCAACCATCAGAACAAATAGGAAACGAATGACCTATAAAAAAGAGCGTGTGATATCGTCGATATCGAATTAAGATAATCGTAATTATTATTTATGTCCTATACCGATTAATCGTACGGATGTGATTGCAGGAAATATAAGGGTTTCCTCATAAGGGAGATCTTCTTGCTGTTCGGTAAAAACATATCCGACGAATTCTCGTGCGTATAAATTACTTCTTTTGTCGGGATTAAATGTGACTTCGAACAGAACTGTTTGACACGCTGGTACTTTCGCGATAGCAGGTGTTATACAAAAAATTTCTTCAACATCTATATAAAATTTTATATTAATAGTAAAAAAAAAGAGAAAAATAAATCGATGTGCTTATAATTATATATTCGATTTTATTTCCGTGATACTTATTTAGATAATCTTGAAAAGTAAGAAAAAAGATGGAAAAAATATTAATGACAACGATCATATACATCATGATTCAAGGATGAAACCTTGGTCCCATTTAATTAATACGTCAGACCGTGTGTGATTAGTAAGGCATAGAGTTTCCGAAACTATTTGCGTAACATTATCTGTCATCAAATTAGCTTGACCAAAATCGATGTAATTTTTCGATAATGAAATCGCAGGCAAATCTTGCGCAGCGACGATAGTATCACTTGTGTATCCTTCAAAGCCATTCTTCAACCTCGCAGGGTAATTAAAGCGATTCTTTATATTTGTTTTACGTAATAATGTCGAGCTATAGTAACCGTATACTTCTATAATAATCGGTTTCTGTAATTCGAAAAACATTATCATCTGAATATTTTATTATAGGAGTTGAAAATTTAAACGTGACTTGAAACTGAAATAACTATTAATATAAAGTTTTACACAATGTTATTTTAATTTCATATCTGACTGAAACTAATGATCGTGTAAACAATGTATCTAAAAACATATTTTTTTGCATAAATTGTTGATTAATTAAAAGTTTAATTTATGCAAAAAGACACATTGTCTAGAGTTTGGATATACGTTGTTTATACAATGTTTATCATTATTTTGCAGTCAATTGTGGAATTAAAATGACATTACATATTTTTAATTTAAATTTTTTAATAAAGGCTGATTTGACTTTATAAGAATTTTTCTCTTATTTTTATTGGTGACAAATATCATTTTGTATTCCTCGTTAGAGAATAAGTACTTTTTATTTGTAGATAATATGAATTATTTATAAGATCTGTATCAATTCAGAATGTTAGCCATGACATTATCAAAATATAAAGCCTTTAAAATATTGTCTTGTTTGTTTAAATTAAATTTAAATTTTAATTTGTAAAAAATTAAAATTTTCGTTACGTGATTCAGAATTAAACACGGCAAGTGATATGTGTAGATTCCAGCTTTCTGAGGTGTGAAAGTGATAGTTATATATTTCCGAGAATGAGGTCCGATGTAGCCTTGCTTCGGATCGACTTTGAATGATCTTTGCGCCAGATCGATGTCAAACATAAAAATTGCCGTGGTTTTCGAATCATTAATAAACCTGATCCGCTTCTTCGTTTCATAACTCTCGTTCGTGCATATCATGACTAATCTCGTTGACGACGAGGAAATTATTGGTCCTAAGTATATATTATTAGCCACGTCATTCGATGACGTTTATTCAATGTTAACATCATCTCGACAAGACAAGAAAGCACTACTCCACGTCCAGATAATAAATGATTCATAATGACATTTTCAATTGCATTCGACGAAATTAACCAAGACATATGACATTTTCAAAGTAGCAAAAAATGTATAAGAAATGTTTAAAACTCATTTTCAAGGATATTTTAAAAACGTTAAAATAATGGGTTAAGTTCCTTTTTATTCATTAAAAAAACATTTATTTTAAAAACGTTAATGTGATATAAATATTTATTTAATTTTTATTAAATTTCGTTTTATTAATATTTCATTAATAATATTAATATAAAATATTAATAAAATAAATATTTAATAAATGTTAAATAAATATTATTTATATTGTATTATAACATTAAAATAAATATTTTAATTTTTTTAATGAATCAGAAGAGACTTAACTATATATATAATTATTTTAACATTTTTTAAATATCTTTTGAAAATAAATTTTAAATATTGTTTATACATTTTTGTGTGCTATTTGAGTTGCTATTGAGTCTTATCTTATCGCAACTTAGTTATTAAATAGTAAGATATAATATGGTGATTAGAGAAATTCTTTCTCTATCTATTAATTTCAGTCGTACTTCGATCTAATTTCTTTTATTTTAAAAGATTGATTAAAGAGGGAGAGCGCACGTTGGAATATTTTCTAATGAAAAGTTTTTCTCTCGAATATCATATATACATTGCAAAATAAAATGAATGAAATATTTTTCTTACCTATACACGTTCCACGAATCCTAATTTCCACTCGTTCGCCCACGGAATCCACGATCGTAAAGTAATCCACGTTTACCGAAAATGGCACGAACGGTCGATAGTATATTTTGCACTTGTATACTTGGCTGGGAGGCAAAGTCCAGGAATAGCTGCACAATTCGAACACGTGGTCCAGAGGATTCGTAGTGGCGTCTCTTCGAGCTTCGTAAATCTGTTCCACCTACACTTCAATTCAATCATATTTATCATCTTGTAATATTTTTTATACATGAAATACTTCGACATTGTCGCTGCCCAAATAAGGAGTCATAAATATATATATATGTCATATATATACTAACGCAACTTTCGTTGATTATCTCAATCCATTTGACAGCTGCGGCTCCAGTCTCCACCTCGCCGAACTCCACGTGAATTTTCCCATTCGGGGCCTCGCAGCCCATCATTTCCGCCTTAATTATGTTAATAAATATTCCTCTCGTCTCGTCGTTTCTCCTCTAAACCAAAGTGAAGTTGCTGCGAGAAGCGCGCTGACCCGCTGACGTCATTCGAGTTCGAGGTCTCGATCGCTCGAAACCTCGCGACTCTCGAGAGCTCCAGACGTCCTTGAGTGACGTCACGACTTGTTTTGGTCGCATCCTCCAAGGAGGGGGCGACGCATTTCTCGGTCTCAGTTAAGCGAAGTCGCAGAATCGCGTTCCTGGCGTCGCTTTTGCTCGATAATTCCCTGAAGATAATCCTCGCGGAAGCTCTCTGCGAGCGCGGCGGAGGAGAAGAGTGAACGGCGTTTCGTCATCGTGCGTCTTTCTCACGTTCTACATATATGGCTTTGTGACAGTTGCGGGCCTCGCGCGCGAGTCGCACCCCGGAAAGAAAAAAAAACATGGTCCAGCCACGCGCCTCCTCGTCGAGCATCCTCTACCTCCTGATCGCGATCGCGCATCTGTGCTCGTGTACACGTCACGATAATTACAACGATTGTAAGTTGGAAGATTTACATGACACATGTCTCATTTCTAACCTCACTTTTTTTCGTGCGTTCTCCAAGAGTCCTAACACATCCTGGGTTGCGCTCCAAACGTCCTCTTCGAGGAAAATTTTACTGACAATCTATATAATGTACTAGATTTTTTTAAGTAAAATTTTCTTCGAAGAGGACGTTTTGAAACGCAGGCCCTGAACGCCTTCAGAGAACATCTTGAGGATATCTTACGAATATTAGGGAAATAATTATAATTGGATTAAATTGGTTGAAAACACATTAAATTAAAAAAAAATATTGTGTGCTCTCCTCCTGTAGATGCTCTCGAGAATGACAAGATCTGTCATCCGCTGAACAAGAGGCACCAGCATGATCTGCGGAATGGTACCGCGGCGATTGTCTCGGCCCGTCACATGTTCGATCGCTGGGTCGTGAAGAACAATCAGACCTGCACGTTCACCTTCAAGACCGCGAGAGGCGAGGGTCTCTTTGCGGTCATCCAAAATGTTTTTCGACGTGACGGCAATCGTTGTTTGGATTATGTGCGGGTGAGTTACGGATATGATGAACGAATCAATTTTCTTCTTCATCCTTCTTTTCATTCTGAAAAATAAAACTGTTTATTAATTATATATATATATATATATATATATATATATCGATTTTGAATGATAAAATGAAATATACAGTAAATAAAATAATTTTTATATCATAAATATTAGTTTCAATGCTTCAGATATATTTAAAATATGTTTCTAAATTCTGTGCACTTTATAAAGCTTTAAAGTATGTATACATATATATAAAATTATAATATTAATATATTTGTATTATAATATTACTATATATACAGTTTATTACCTAAGTAATAAAACTGTGGTTAATCTTCTATTAAGTATATTCAGCTTTAAAAATATCTCTCTTGAAGGTCTAGTAGTTTTTAGCGCTAAATATTTACTTAGTATTTATGTGTCAAGTGTGATATGATATTGTTCTGAAAAAAGAAATTTTAATTTCTTCGATACACTATTTGCTCAATACAATATATTATAAATATATAAGAAAGATGAAAAATATTACATGTGATAAAACTTGAGTTAATCAATGATTCTAAAGAATTTTCTGAAATTATATTTTAATAAATTTCAAATTAATTGTCTGGAATTATTAAAATGATAGATTGTATTAACTTTCAGATTAAGCTTTCAAATAAAGTTGGATAGAATTCAATAAATTTAATCTACATAGAGATAATGTACATATGTGTTTCTACATTTTACCTTAAAGAAATTAAAGTTCACACTTATTAATTATATATATACAAAAAATTAATCAAGATTGAAGCTTGATGTAATTAAAATTTGCATTTGCAATATTAGATTTTTAACATGTATTTTATTACAGTTTAAGAGAAGCGATGGTCATTATACAGGCAAGTTCTGTGGAGAGATAGACCGCCAGGCAACGTACTTTCCAGTTACTGAATTTGAAGAAAATTCACATAATATGGATGATACCCTGCACGACGAATATGCCGAATTTGATCCCATTAAGAAGCTGAAAGTGCTTTCAATGGAAATTAGTACAACAGAATTGGAAACTGAGATATTCATCTCCAAGGAGAAAGTAGCGGATGGAGAATATCTGGATCTGAGTATAGTTTACACTCCATACAGAAGTATGTTTCTAATATATCTAATAATCTAATATATCTGTAAATCAAATGTAACAAATATATAAACTATCTGGTTCAATAATTTATTTGCAGATTGCAAGAAAGTGGATTTTACGCGATACAAACCGGTCGGACGTGACATTTGCATTCGGAAGGAATACCTGTGCGATATGATTTACAATTGTCCGCTTGGTATTTGTTCGGACGAGGTCAATTGCTCATACATCACCGATCGGTTTCCCAGAGACGATACTGCCACGAAAGTCACTGTAGGAGCGGTCACCACTATAATCCTCTGTCTCATCATTTTCCTCATGTGTCTGTGGATCTGCAAGAAATCTGGTAAGTTATGCTGGTCATCAGATTGCGCCGGTCCACAAGTGTGTTCACGACCTGGTTCCTTACCGGATGCGGACGGAGGTCTGGGATCCAATCGCGGAGTCCCCACGGCTCCTATGCTAGAGGTTGCGGTATCTTCTCCCCTCGCAAACAAGGATCTGCCTCCCAGTTACGACTCGTTATTCCCTGAACAGAGCAATCCTGCCAGATCGTAAGTTGTTGAATCTGATTAGAGTTAAAGCGCGTTCAACACGTCGTCTAATGTTTTAATTAGACGCTGTGTTACGTGTATGACGTAACAAGGCCGTCCTTTTCCCCACATGCATCTGTTCCACAAGTGTGAACAAAATTCTGTTAAAAATAAGACCTTCATCAAGAAAAAAAGAAAAAATTAATGTGAATGCAGCATCAATTTTGATCATGTGCCAACACGAGCTGAAAGATATAAACAGCTTTAGAATGTTATTGATATAATAGACGACTCATAAAATCGAGAGACATGGAGTTGTAATAAATATACATATATAATATAGATACTATTCTTTAGCAACGAATTTTTTTTCTTGAACGAATTCTCATTTTATGTTCCTCCTTTCTAGTTTGTGAATAAGAAAGCCTTTAAAAATCAACTAATATTTTTCATACATCAATTTTGATAAATTTAATCAATGCAATCAATCGTCGCACAATCGAAGCATTAATCCTCTATTATCTATATAGTTATGTCACTGCACGTCACAGTACTATCATACTAACGTCACGTTTGTTCCTTGTATGATTAATGATTACAAGGAATGCACAGTTAATATCTAACTCGGTTGTTTTTTTTATGTATAGCTTTAAGTTTCAGTTTGGTATTATTTAATAAATATTAAAATGTATATTGCAAGAAATTTGTTCATCAATCAAAGAAGGAACATAGACCATGAAAATGGTTTTTGATATTTAACAAAATATAATTACGATTTTTCTTAAATCAAAATATTCAATGCAGTATTTTTTTAAATATGTTAATAAAATTTGAAGTTATTTCTTATTGATATTAACTTTTCTCATTTAAATTGTATACTGTATACTATTGTATTCTTATTAATATTAGACAAGAAAAATGAATTGTAACTACTTCGAAGAAAAAAAACTTTAAGAGGATCTATTGTGTTCATATAGACATTCACAAAACAAATAATATATGAACTTGCTGTATTGTAGCATATTTTTTGATAAATGATATATCTTATTTAGGTATGCGCGGAGATATGTTTATAACAACTTTTGTATCTATAAAAGTGTAAAAATTTTATAACAATTATACAGACCCTAGACGTGTGCGTGTATATTTTTGAGATTGAATATTATATAAGCTTCTTTATAAAATGTACGTAACAATTTATTGTGTAAATATCCAATTTGTGATAATAAAGACTTATAGATCTATACTTTATAAATATATATACTTATAGATATAGATATATATGTATAAACATATAAAAAAATGTTGGCCGATGAAGATTTATTTCTCGTCTTTGAATTCTGTATGCACAGATATATGCTCGAGTAACCATAAACAATCATTAATGATGTGATCAATCTCAGCTGGTCCAGTTACTAATGAATGATTGTCATCATATACAAGCATTCTGCAATGTGTCAATTTTTCGATAACGCAATGCACAATTTTCAGTCCATTGTACTTAAATAAAGGTATCAACTTACTTAGTTTTTACTTTGTTAGTTTTGAGCCGATGATACCACATTGTTCCTTGAGAGGATGGTACTCGTAAATCTTTCGTTCCAATGCAAATTAAAGTGGGTGCCTTAACTTTATCGATGTGCGAAATCGGCGAGCATTTCTTCATTTTTACGAACATGTCGATGTTTTCTGGCCAAGGACCGCTAACCAAGTAAGGAAAACCTGCCTCTACAATGCACCTGTAATGAAAATTAAATGTTCGTATTGAAATATATAATTTAACGTGAGTCCAAACATTTGTGTGAATTATCGTTACATATAATTCACTACAAAGTTATACATTTACAAAAAGAGAAAAAAGGAAAACTGTATTTCAGTCAAACTTAGACTAGTCGCGATTGATGGATACATTTGAGATAACGATTAAGCTTACACATTATGAAGATACGCTATTTTTTCTTCCTTAGTCAGAGTATTGCGACTGAAATACAAATACGGGATATTGAATAATTTAGATGTGAATAATAATGTTATTAGATGTTAAGTGTCTTTTTACCAATCAGGAATATCTGATACACCAAACATGATGGAGATATCGATTACTGGATTTCTCGCCACTACTGCTTTGTACATATCCTGAAATAAAAATTTTTATACTAAATGAATATAGTTTTGCTTTGTATATAAACTTAACAATATTTAAATTACTAAATTTATTATACAAATCCATTATATTTGTTTTGCTTACCGGAACTTGCCCACTTAAATGTGTTACCAAAAATCCACCATGAGATCCACCGCAAAGACCTATGCGTTCTGGATCGAGCCAAGGATATTTTTGATTGCTTCTTGCGTAGCAGTTACACAGTCCTGCACATCTATGTCCCCAACTTTTCCTTGAAGATAGTCTACAGTCGCGCTGCCCATTCCCGTAGAACCACGATAATTCACTTGTACTATTGCAAAACCTGAAAATTTTATATAATTAATTAATATATAATCTCTTTGAAAAATTCAGATTTAGATAAGATCTTTAAATATCTGTTTCATAAAGATTTATTCATGATGCACAAATAATTTCCTAAATACTATTAAAATTAATTAAACAAAAATTAAATTGTATAAGAGTTAAGATTATATAAGAAAAATATATCTTTCCTAACAGAATGTGTTTTATTGAATAGTATGTTCTGTCATTTCAATTTTTACTTTATTATTAGAAGTACAAATTTAATTTACTTTCTTATAAAACAGTATAAATAAGCAGAAGAATATAAATGTGTAAGATTGGAATAACTCAAAGATAGAAGCAGACATTTATAAAGTATATGATCTGGATGGGAGAATCGATCCAAAATCATCTGCGTCCTATATATTTTTATTTATATATTTACAAAGAGAAATAAAAGATTTAAATATAATACCTGCTGATACCAAGAAAGAGTGATCCAATATAAATACGTTTGTGAAATTGCTATGAGGGCCTCCGTGTGGTATAACCACAAAAGGAACTGATTTATCTTTACCACTTTTTGGACCAAAATAAATGAAGTTAAACTGTCCTGAAAATAACATAACAAAGATATAATTTTTGAGATAATTATAAAATAAATCATACAAGCAATGCAAGCCACTTACTTATGCTCTCATCATTGTTATAAATATATTCATTAGGTTCATATATAATTTCTTTAAGCTCATTAATTTTCATTGGAGTTGTAATTGTAGTTCTTGCGATATCGCCAATATTTGCTGCTTCACTTTTAAAACGACCTACCATAAGACTGGCAGGTTGTGTTAAGGATGTATTTAAAAATGCAATTATATCTCCTTTTACATCCAATATAGTAAGGCTGCTTCCATCATTTTTTACTTCAGTAATATCTTTTGTTTCTGTAAATAAAATTTATAATTTTTGTAAGTGAATAAATAACAGAAATATTAATGTGATAAAACAGTTCTACATAAAATCTTGATATCTTACTTATATTAACAATGTATGAAACAATATTGTTTCTTTGAGGTGTACTGAAAAATAAGTATTGAGAGTCATCACTCCAACAATTATGAGGTAAACGACTGTATATTCCATAAAAGTGCCGATTATGATTAATTGTTTTGCTCATTTGTACTTTTTCCACGATTTGGTTACCCTAGATTTAAAATAAAAATTTAATACTTGAAACAGTAAACAAATTCTCCTAACATCTACTGTCATTCTTAATTTAATATAATATTACATGGTTTTCCTTTATTCTCAAATCTTGTAACATAAGCGTGTGTGCATTATGATGTGGGACAGCACCAGCTTCCCTCTGTAACCAAATAAGATAATTTCCATCAGGGCTAATTCTAGGACTGTGTACAGCACATCCTTCATCAGATAACTTTCCTGTATAATAAAAGTTATAATATATTTCGTTGTTATTTTATATATACAATTTTATATAACAATTTAATTATTACTTACGGAATTCTCCATTTTTCAATAAGAATATCCAGGAATATCTGTTGGTGCATGCAACTAGACCTAAATATTGTGGCTCGTGTTTCCAAGCAACACCGACTACATCTTGATCTTTTGTCCAAATCACTTGTCCAGGAGAAAGTTCATCTGGTATTCCAGATAAAACTGTAATGTTGTCTGTTGTTGTGTCAAGAACTACAACAACAGGTCGATGTTTTCCTACCATTTGTTCTCCCCAGTGTGGTTTATAGATATACTCATTTCCCTAAATTAGTAAGAAAGATAATAAGTAATGATACAAAATTTGATCAATTATTCATACAAAAATAGAGTATTAGATGTATTTAAAAATGAAAGTCTCACCACTGTTGTTTCTTCATCCTCTTTCTTTTCCTTATCTTTCTTATCTAATGGTTTTTGCTTATAAAATGGTTCTGATTTAGAAAGCTTCTTTTCCGCTATATATAATACTTTGGTGTTATCAGGCGACCACTCAAATGATCGAAATTCGACTGCAAAAAGCGTATTATATTTTTAATATTAAATAATTAATATTAAAAATTAAATTTGACAGACTTGTTCATACTATCTGTATAAACATCTCCATGAACATCCAAAGCAGATAGATCGTAATTCTTCACAAAATGCTGCTTATCCCAAATTTCTATAAATTGTTTTGTAGAATTATCAATTATAGCTTGTCGCAATACAGCCCTACGTTCTTCATTTTTTGTCAAAGTGGACATGAGCCTATTTAAAACAGATTTATTCAAATGTAAGCAATATTGTGAATGTTTCATACTATTTAAAAAAATATATATGCAAATTGTACATACTCTGTGGTAACATCAATTGGAAATCCACTGGAGATCGGAGTTAAGTCTGAATTTAAATCATATTTCTGTAAGAAACGTTGATCCGTCTTTCTCTCTAGATTTCTTTGTGTCCATAAGCCTTGTATAGATAATCTACCATTTGCAGAGCCCAGAATCCGTGCACCGATTAAGGACGGATGTGCAGCTAATGATTTGTATAACTTTACCAATTCTTTTACCTGCAAAATACATATTTCTTTATGTAATCATTTCACATGTCATTGTATCATAGATTTTTTGCTATAAAAAATTATAGATATATATAAATATCATATATAGGGTGTTCTAAAAAGATACAACTAAAATTTTAGGGATAATTCCTTACACCTAAAGGATGAAAAAAAGTTACATAAACATGAATGCAAAAACATTTTTCTCAGAAGGTAGAGCTTCTTTTCTGAGTATGTGATGTTATGGCTAAATGAGATAGTGATCTTCAGCCAGGTAGAAATCAGAAAAATATTGCTCTTTAATGTTATGGCTGAATAATAACACAATATGAAACATTAACTCCTAACGAAAAAAAAAACTTGCTCAGCCGCTTGCTGTTCATGTAACATTATTTCATTCGATTTTTCCAAATAAAAAAAAATAATTACGGACCTGTCCAGATGTCATTTTGATTTTCTTGTATCGCCTCTTGATGCGACTCACGAATACTGTTGAAAAACACACATACGCCGAGTTCAAGAGATAGCGTTTAAACAGCGATAACTGATGATAACACTGATAACGCCAGTAGATATATAGCGCAATATCGCTATGCAATTAATGTTATCGTACTTCTTATCACAATCGTCGTTATATAAATATGAAATGCAAACTGTGAAAAAACTCGTCTATGTTCTAAATTAACCATAACCTTATATTTCGGACGCAGCGCAGAGACTGACAGCGCCACTATTCGAGTTATGTTCGAACTAAAATCAGTCACGTGACAAGCGCTCCGAAATTAGTTTCAGCGCTCCTACTCGGGCTACGAGCGAATTAAAGTCAGTCACGTGACAAGACTGCGAGGAGCAACTTCTTCGTACAAGCGCAGTGAGTTTGCTTTCAAATTTATTTCAATAATAGTTCTATCGAAATCTTTATAACACATTACGTGAAATAGTGCACAAGTGCGGGTGAAATTGATAAAAGTATTCCAATAATAACAATTAAACAAAGACAATAATAATGTGTTGTTTCAGAATGAGAATAAAGTACTTGAATTATACACACACATACAAGCAGTACGAACGAAGAGAAAGATGCGATAAATTTATGTAAGTAACATTTGTTTAATAACTTGCTTCATTTTCGATACCATTCGATAGCATCATGTGCCATTTAGGACACCAAAATTCGCGCATATATAATTAAGCAGACATCTTTAAGAAATCTTATAATTATGATATCTCCAAAAGACATATATATACATATATATATATCATAAAGATTTCTTATACGCCAATTTTGAATAAGGTGTTGTCTGGGTATTTAGTCATCATTTATAATTTATGCAATTCCTAATGTTCAATTTTAACTTGATCAAAAATTAAAATTATATATAGTTTAATTAAATCCAAAAAAATTGACGCAACAGAATAAGTTTATTTACAATCTGTATAGCTTACACACATTTTACAATAAAGGTGCAGAGCTTTCTAATATTATTATATGTACAAGATGTATACTCAAAATAACATGTATATCATAAAAATATATATATACTGCTGAGATTATAATATCTGTCCAATATTATTATTACAAGTATAATGTTTATTAAAATAAAAAAATAAGAATTTCGCCGAATTTTTGAAAGAGCTTCTATTATTATTTTAAACATAGTTTCACACTTTTTAATAATCCAATATAAGTCTTTTTATCAGTCAAGAATTTAATAAAGTATCTTTGCTAAAATTTTTGTAAGTCAAGTATAAATTGATGTAATGATAACAATAAATCTGCATTCGCCAAATTTTTACATTTACATATATAATTTTATCAGAGTCTTGATTTAAAATTAAGTAAACATATTTTGATATACGCATGCATTCACGCAACAGATATACAATCATACATATTTTAGTATATTCTACATACATATTATCATATATGTTATTTAACGTGTAACCAAAAATTTTATTAAAAATAATTTAAGTTATAAAAAGTAAAGTACATGCGCGCGCCGAGACAAATCTTACATTATCGAAGGCTCGAAAATCTTTAAGGCCATTTTGTTGAATAATTCAATATCGATTTTTTATGTGTGTCAATATTGTCTTTAATCTATATTTTGTTCAATACGTTAAAAACTCAATACGTGAAAAACATTATTTTTAATATAATCATCTTTTAATATTTACGATAAAAAGTTATTCAATATCTTGTTAAAATTTATTGGAATCTGTTGTTTTCTACTTGCATTAACATTTATATATTAAACATTTGGTATAATTATTAATTCATCTTTTCCTCAACAACTTTTGTTTAGCACCATTGACTATTTTACAACAATAATACTATGATTATTATCATAAAAACTGCTACTCTCTCTAAGAAAAAATAGTTTGCGCATTACAATCATCTGTGATTTTACAAATTTTTATCATAAAATAATAACTCTGTGAGCTTTTAAAATACGTTTATAGAATATAGATATGTGCAGAATGATAGATATCGAGAATTTTGTAAAACTTCGATTTAGCTACAAAAATTGACATACGATTATACAAATGCTATTAAATATTCTTAACAATAACGTATTTCAAGTACAGTAAATGCTAAATGCGTCACATTATTTGTAGTGTGAATAATAAATATACATACGTATATAAAATAATAATGTGTGACAATTTAAAAAATTCATTGTTTTTGCTATTATTATTTGTCTTGCTTCGAAAATACGCGACTTCAGCATTTAAATGTCACATACACAGCAGTCTTCAAATAAAAAATGGTTATATTTAGCGTATAATTTTGCTGAATTGGGATTTTAATATCATTTGACACATGGAAATAATAATCCATTATTTGTGAAAATAGAAATGATTGACGTAAAATCGTTTTTCGTATACTAATAGCACCGGAAATTACATTACTCACTTTGAATTCTTCTAATAATAATTGTCGCGGATAAATTCGTAATTTCACGTTTGCTTTGGAGCGCATTTAAATGGTTTATGCAGTCGTTCGTTGACGATGTCGATATCAAGCGGAAATCAATCTAAGCAATCTAAGGCAATCGGTCTCTCTAATGACAAGTCGGCTATACTTTTACTCTCTCTCATAATTTTTCATTTTATTTGCCGAAGATAGCGGCTTTTTGCCGAAATTGCTCTCGCCTCGCCGCTTTTTCCTCTTCCTCTCGTTTTCGTTCTTCCTGTTCCATGCGAATCTCATCTTCGAACTTGGAAGCCTTTCGCAGCTGCTCGATCTGCGAAAAAAAAGCGTTAATCGGAGCACGTGCGAAATGCAATTCGTTCAGGTTACGCTTTCGTGCATGCATTTTTTTCAACGCGAACGACACGCTGAAGTAACTATCTGGGCTTGCCCCATCTGTCATTTGCAATCACATATGTGAATGGGAACCGCATGTGTTGTGTCCGCAACAATGGGACAGGATTTGAAGCTTTTCATATAGACAGGAAATTCCTTATTGTAAAATTATTAAATGATTTGAAATTTTTTACAATATAATAAAGACTATAACGTAATTCATATTAAATATAATATAATATAATAATGAAAGAGTTCAATATAAAGAAGTATAAGCAATAAAAAAGCAAGTTTTAAAGTAAAATCTCTATTAAATATAAAAAATTTTTATAGCAATTAAATATATAAAAATATTTTCTGTTTTTAATACATATTTAAATGAGTCTTAAGTATATCTTTAAACATATGTGTATATATATATATATATATATATATAATTTAAATAATCTTTAAAATATCTATATATATATATATATATATATATATATATATATATGTATTTGCATATACACACGAAAAAAAGCTATTGATTTGAAATCAATATTTATTTCAATAGTGCCATTAATACCATTTGTTTGAAATAATAATGTTGATTTGCCGTGGAAAAATATTGATTTGATATAAGAAAACAGATAAATATTTACTTGTTTCAAACAAATGGTGTTATTGGCATTATTGAAATAAATATTTACTTGAAATCAATAGCTTTTTGCAGTGTATATGTATATTTAGAGATGGAATCATTTAAATATGTATAAATAAGCGATTTTTTTTTCAATTCTGAAAGAGATATGATAAACAAATATACTTTAGCTTCGAAGAAGTTTTTAGCTCCGGTAACACCAACTTCGTCGACGTCCACTTCAGTGAGTCTGGCCAGCTGGCTCAATCCGGAATCCTGTTCCAACTCACCGGCACGCGCTTTACGATAGATCAGTAAAAACTGTAATGAGATATAACCGTACATTGTAAACACATAAATCAAAGTTATGATACGCATTATACAAGATTAGACCCTAGAGAATCTTAGTCTTTAAAAAAATTAGAAGTTATTCAATTTTGGAGCCGTTTCCCTCAAAAATAAAATTATGTCGCAAATTTATTATTATTTCGAGAAATTCTGCATATAAAAGATATAAACTTTTTATCTTACAGTTATATAAAAATAATAAAACAAAACCTCGGTTATATATAGCTCTATTTAATTAAGAAATTCTCTGTCATTGGTATTAGGTATAAGTTTGACCATATTTTCTGAAAGAAAATAAAGGACAAACATAATTTTAGAACTTTATTTCAACATGTTTTCAAAAATTCTATGACTATCAAGATTATAAAAAATAAAAATGAAAAATAAAAGACAGGAAAAGAGTCGATTAAAAATAAAAAAAAGATCTCGTGATTAAAGAAATTGAAAAACTGCAACGTTTAATGAATGTAACACGCATGAGACGAAGAGGAGGAAAATACGTGTCGCGACCGTTTTACGGTAATTCATACCGTGATGAGTAAGAGGAAGGTGAATAAGCTGAGCAAGCTACTCGATTATCATTATCACGCAATGAATCACGGTCGACGAGCAGGGCGAATCGCGCGTATATGCGGATCGATTCGCATGCGGCAGGCTTTGTTTGCGAAATACGGTATCTCACGTCCGATTGTCTTTGCGAGCGTGCATCTCGTATTAAGTCGAGGCACTCTCCTTGGAATGGTACGTGATACTCATGCATCGTGACTTTTTTTTTCCCGCGGATTTGTACGCATTACAGCGTATTGCGTTAAGAGCGAAAGTTTCAGTTTCGCACGCTCTGGTATCCCGCGAACGTGTTGCATCGGTTCAGCATAATTGATCCGTTCTATCGCTAGGCTGGCAATCGCAAGGTTAATCTTCTCTCGATAGTTTCGCACCTAGATACTTGACTGAGAAGAAATGAAATTCAATTCGATGCATTCGCATGCTACCAATAACTTTAAAATTGTTTGCTTATTTTTTTCCACAGAGCATCTAATTTTAGATAGGAGACAAATATTAATAAATATAAAATACTCGAATAAAAAATTTATAAAATAAATATAAAATATTTAAAATTAAAATTATGATAATTTAGGTGTAAGTTAATTCTTTTTTATGGAAATATATATGTACATATTTTTTTCACTTACAATTAGTAGAACATATATGTATAACAATGAGTGTTAACTTCTTAGAATTACGTTTATTGCGCAAAGTTTGTTTATAACGGGAGAATTTTAGTTTCGCACATTTTTTTTACAGCGGAAAGTCTGGTTTGGCAGTTGTTAAAATACTCCATCGTGCAGGCAACCGAAATAGAACGTGCCCTCTCTAACGCATGGCTGTGCCTGGAGAATAAACACGATCGTCGAATACTTCAGTCGGTGAGTAAGTTTAAACACTGCATGGGGTCTACTATTTATACGGATAATATGTTATATACGCGCGTTCACCACAAATAAATCTACGAGTCTGATCAGATTTACGTCATTTAACACTTTGCAAAGAAAAAAAGAATAAAAAGTAGAGCTCAAAATAAGATAAAAATTTTAGTTTTTCAAATAAAAATTTAAAATCATATCTTTTTACATAATATTTTCTTTAATATATAAATTTTAAAGAGAGAAGAGAATCTTTGAAAAATAAAATTAATTTTCCACACAAATTGGTGAATGCTTTTAAAAATAGAATATATTTCCTCTTTGTTATTGTTATTCTTCTTGAAATATCATGCAAAGTGCACATGTTTTTTTGATGATAAGCATAAGACCAAAGCTATACGCAGTGGTCTATTTCCATTGAATACTTTTAACGATCAGAGTTGCGAGAAGCACTAATGATCAGGTTGGTCATAGAGACCATGGGACATATGTTTATGTCGACCACATTCAAAGCCGATAACGCAAAGTATGCTAACCAATGCTATATATTTTCAAACCATTTGCCCCTATGGTATATTTCTCTCTAACAATAGATAACGCAGATAGATATATAACGCAGCTGCTTAACATTATTATAATTCAGCAGCTGCTTAACATTATTATAATTCAGCAATAAGATAAGAGATTTAAAGAAACCTCGAATAAACTGTATGTAAAATATTTTTTTAATAATTTATAAAAAACAATGGATATTCATTCTTTTGCAAACAATTAATTTCGATTCATTAATGAGAGCATATATGAAAAAATATTGTTACCATTTGCATATCAACTTATTTAACTTGTTGAAATGTAATTATTGCGAAATAAAATGAAGAATTAAAAAAATAATTTTATTCTTCATGTTAATAAAATAAAAATATTATTACAATTAAATAATTTAATTTTATGTTAACGATTTTCTCTAAATATTTTTCTATTTCTTAAAGTATGAAAAATAATTTAATTACTGCATTTGATAGTTCATTTATATTATTTATTACATACAGTTTATTTATATTATTCGAGATGTTAGCGATTTCTCAAATATTCTTAAAAATAAACCAACCTCACGGAAAGATATGCGACCGTCACCATCTTCGTCGACCTCCTGGATCATCGCCTTGAGTCCGAGATGTGTTTGCGGTGCACCCAAAACTTCCATCATTCGTTTTAGTTCGGTGAGATCGAGATAGCCATCGCGTCCATCGTCGAATCTGTAAATATTGACGATTAGAATCAGAATATTTACAAATCAGAAATTTTATTACACAATTTTTCATCCGAAGTGTTCTAAAAATATCACTTTTTCACCTGCAAATATAGGCTTTTTGCTAATAATTTGCTTAACTAATGAAATTAAAGCACTTTAGTTCTAAAATTAAAGTGCGAAAAGAATATTTTATTCACATTTTTTAAGTGATTTTCATAGAGGTAAGTATCTATCCAAGTTGTGTCTTTGAAAATATTATTTGATAGTAAAACTCTCGAGTAACTATATATATCGAAGATATGATAAGATATAGTTAATGCGGTTAAGGCTAATCTATTCTGCTGACTGGTGAATTTTATTACCGACCTCCTTTCTAGGCTTAAAGTAGAGTGCATTTTTAAGTGATTGACCCATCAATAAATCATTGCTATGACGCTGGTCAATGAGACGCCCAGCTAAAAACGTGTCGCACATATATTGTAGTCTGTTGCTTCTGGTCAATCGTGATACCGCGTACAATTTAATCACTGGTCATTAAACGCCGTTGCACGAAGGTTGTAAGAGGAAGAAAAGAATTCGGGACACTGTCATTAGTGACGAACGAGTTGCGATTATCAAACAACTCGGTATAGAGATTGTTTCAACCTATGCTGTACAGAAATAGTCTCTTTTATTTTACGAAACTCAAGAAATTATTATGGTGAGATAGAAAATGACACAAGTCTCTTAATAAAATTTGTTGCATTAACTCAATGATTCCATGAAGTAAACACTGGAGATGTCAACCGTGATATCGATTAAAGTTGATGCAACATAGTTATAAATAGCACGACCAGTAGTTTTTGTTAAAATTGAGTTATTATATTAAAATTTTAATAATGATAAAGTTTTAATAATGATAAAGTTTTGTCTAACATAGATTGTAAAAAAATTATTTAATAAGAAAAAAGTTGAAGGAAAATTGAATAAACTAAAGCTAATTGACGTTGATGCATTTAATTTTAACACTGAATATCATTCGATAAAATTCCAACTATATTCAGCTACATGAGATTTTTACGATTATTTTTATTTTAAGTTTTGTTCATATCATGTATCATAAAAATTGATGTTGTCTTTTTTCTGCATAAAAATTCTAGAAAAAGAAATTAATTAGAAATAATGATTTTAATTGGAGAAAATGATTATAGATTTTCTTCGGAACAGACCAGCAGTTAGGTGACAGTTACATTCTTCATAATCGAGATTGTCTTAACTCGGTCGTCATTAACATTCGCGACTTTCTTCACATTTATTACTAAGCCAACGTCTCGTTGGCCGCAATGTACAAGGTAGAACATTTAATAACTAGAACGTCTCTCTTGTAGAAAGCGCATGAAATAGGTTGAACAAGATATTTATCTGTAGAAAAATTTGCATTTTTTATTCTTCGCAACTTTAATCCAGCAGATTTAAAAGATTTTGCCAAATTTGATTCGTCGATCTGTTTCAGACTTTCCGTAGCCGATGACTTATAAACTTGTAGATTTATGTATGCAAATATCGTGTCGTAAAAACTTCGGTCCAGAATAATCGTACACGTTACAATGAAGGCACCGTTGTTTGAACTTTATTACGCGTTGTTTCGCATACGTCATATAAATGCAAAAAGCGGAAATGATTTATTCTGATGGTAGTTATGACGTCGCGCAATCATCGAAAATAACTGCCTAACTGTTTGACATTATTAATTTCGCTCTCGTGTCGCGTGGAAAAATGTAGGCGTTAGCTAAAGGTTAACTGGATCACGTTCACGGTTATGTTAGAAACAATGAGCCGCAATTTTATATGCACAATTCTCGTGGAAAGGACCCCTCCATGAGAGATACTCGGCCGAATGTGCTACCGTGAGATGAAATCAATCCGATTGAAATTAATTTATATTCAAATTAAACATGTGACGTGATATGCGATGTTATATTTACATTACATTTTAGCATTATTAGATAATTATTAAATTACTAGTTTAACTATTTTAGCTTCAAATATGGAATTTATACAGAATTAATACAGAAATGTTATATTATTAATTTAATTATATTATTATTTATTATTATAATTAATTATATTATTTAATGATTCATCAGTAATTAATATAGAATTATTAACAGTTTTTTAAAAAAATTGAATCGTGAAAAGTTTATTTAATGTCCAAATTTTATAGAACATTTAAAGAATATTTGATATTTAACATTTAATAATATTTGTTAAATTTCAAAATATTCAATTTATTAATAATTGAATAGGTATATAATTATTTCGTGATGCCTATATCTCTGTATCAATCTGTATTTTCTAATTATCGGAGAACGTTTAGACGCGTCGAAAGTGAAAACGTAGGGAAAACGTGGGAATGATTGGCGATATTCAGATTCGCGAAATCTCTCGACAGGACGTCAACTTTAGTTCGCCGGAAACTCGTGAAATCGCTTTCCGTGTAAGGGATGGAAAGTGTTAAGACATGGAATGGTATGCTTTCCAACATGTCAATGCGATTTCGAGAAGTGGATAAAATTGAATTCTGTATTCCTTAGTTTTTTGATGTATCGAAATATCCGAAAGAATCAATTTTTATATAGGTACTCGAAAAAAGACTAAAAATAGATTTATTCCTGTCCAATTTTTTAATAATACGTTTGAAAATGATATATAATTTTTTAGAACTGTAATTATTGTAATTATATACTCGGGGAATCTCTCTACTAGTCTCTCTCATAATTGCTCTCTATTCTATAGAGAGCAATTACGTTATTTATATATAACAGATTATTATCGATATAATTACATATATATAACCAAATTAAAAAACTATTTATAAAATTTAGATAAATAAATGAATCTGTCTATAGAATAGAGAGCAATTACGTTATTTATATATAACAGATTATTATCGATATAATTACATATATATAACCAAATTAAAAAACTACTTATAAAATTTAGATAAATAAATGAATCTATTTTTCCAATCAACGTGAATAATGGATTTTGATGAAAAACGACATAATTCTCCAAAAGGAAAAATAAGGAAAATATTTAATCATTAAAGTTTATCTGTAGAATATAATCAACAAAATTCATTCAAGCGCATTTGAATTGTTCGTCACATGTCTGGTTATAGCTCTCATGATTTTATCTGCCTGAAATATATGTGTATTTCTGCTAGAATCTTAATAAAGCAAGACTTAAAAAAATCGCTATTCTGCCGGCATTTTCGATCTAAGATCGTTAAAGTGCAGAAGAGCAGAACGTTAAAGGGAATTGCTTCCGCATTAGTTAACGACGTTACTGCGAGGCACCGGAAATTGAAGCGGTGTAGGCGAGAAAATACCTGGACGATAAATCCTTCCAATCAGGAAGAATTATTTTATTGAAAGGATCAATATTTGCCTGCATTTCGCTACATCTAGTAATCAAACATGAGCAAAAATCTTTGTGTTATTCAGTTCTACAAATACACATTCCTCGTGTTGATACAAAACGTAATTTTTGTGGCAAAAATTGCAGCAATGTTGCATTCAATAGTTAATATTTTAAGATTATTTATAACTTGATATTTTTTTCTGCCAATATATAAAACATTAAAATAAGTTGTGTCAAAATATTTTTATCTTTTGTCTTTTCATAAAATTTATAAAAAAATTAAATACTTAAATATTGATAATTGAGAGAATAGATGAGAAAAATATACTTAATAATTTTTTTTTAAATTGTGTGTTCTCCAATTTCCTGATTTTTCTACAGATATTTATCTACTAAATATTAACAATTGATAGTTATAATTTTTTTCTTTTTCTGTTTCTTTCGTCCGTTTTCAAAGTTTAGAAAAAATTTAAAAAAAAAAAACAGGAGAACATTGAAGATAGATTCTATTAAAAATCAGCACTTTTATCAATAATGTTCACCTGTCTATTTTAGTCAATAAATTTTCGATAATCTAAAATAGTTTTTTGCTGATTACACAATGTCTCAAATCATTACTAATGATAAATGATTTATTGTGAATATATAAATTTTTATAAAAATGAGATTTTTATGAATTGCTTTATGATTAAGTATTTAAGTGAAAATTAAATGTATTATGTGATTTTATTTCCGACTCTGAACATCTCCATTTTTGATATCACTTTACTAATGATTCGATATCTGATTGATTATTATTGCAATCACGTTGCTGAGGCTCTGTCGAAATCACTTCTCGTCAGACGGTTTTAATCAATTGAGTGAAACGCTTCAATCAACATGAATTGTATTGAGGCGCTGATGCAATGCATTGAATGTGCCATGGATTTGAATGACTTTATGAAAGTTAATAATTAAGAATTGTATACATTGTGTGAAAGTGCTAGAATAAATTTATTGTTGGGGGGATACGTTTTTTTTTCATTTTAGAAACTTAAACGTGCTGTCATCAGAGATCTAATAGATCACATTCTAAAACGAAAAAAAAATTACTTTTTAAATATTTATTATTATTATTTAGTGAATAAGAAACAAGCATGGTTATTTTTTAGATACACAATTTAATTTGGAAATAAATTGTGTTGCTCGTAAAAGTAGACGGAGCGTTTTAATCTTGTCTGATTTTCTCTTTCTTTCTTTTTCTAATTACTACAATGTCGTAGATACGTAATTAGATCGCGACGTAACGATGCCGATGTGTGTTCCTCATCTCGTTATCGCGAAATCGCGATCGTTCCGTTTCGGACCGGCTCGACAGTTCGTTTTCGTTTCGTTTCTCCTTTGCGATTCCTTTTCCAGGAGTAGTCTGGAGAAAACCGGGTCAAGGTGACGCGCAGTGATCCCGATTTACCCTTGTTGTCCGAGATCGATACGGTAGAATTTAGTCCTTCACGAGAAACGACGAAGAATATTTTGACGAATTTACGATGCGAGGAAAAAAAATAGAAATTATCCCTCCTTGTCCTCGTCTTTGTCCTTATCCTCGTCGAGGGCGAGGACAAG